AAAGCAACGGAAGGTGACTAGTTCATTCTCGTACATTTTGCTGTTGGCTTAATTGAAATATTGGTTTTCTTTAACTCAAAGAAAATTGCAGCATGGCTCGAAAACACGTGCTTCGTCACGTCGATTGAAACAGCTTCACGTCAGTGAGGAATGCGTGTGCTTTCTTCCCAACGATGATAATTGTTGCTTGCATTTGAGAAGCTCGGATGGTGCCATTGTGGAATGTGCTAATGTACAGCAGTACTGCATACCGGCTCTAAGGAACGAGGAGTCAATCGATGTGATGATTTTTAGGAATCTGTGGTGCACCGTCAAGCTCTGTGAATGTATGTTGTTTCCCCATACCTTTAAATTTCTGATGTTTACAATGAAAAAAGCTTACTGCATCGTTTTTAGATGATGGCAAAACAGCGATGTGTATATCATCACGCGGAATGTCGTTTGTGGGGCTCGATGAAATTTTTCTTGCTTATTACTGCGATGCCAATTCCCTGGAATTTCCAATTGATTTCTTGCGGAGGGTATGTTTTGCCTTTGTAACAAAAGTTACCAAAATCATTTTCTGGCACTCCAGCTATGCATCTGGCAACTATGGCAGTTGATTTGGCCAGTGCTACATCGTCTGGTGATCAGCCTGCTGAGAATGCAACTAGAATTTGTCAGTGGAAGAAGAAAAAGAACATCGAAAAAGGCGGTAAACATAGAATAATTGAATCAAGCATGGGAATGAGAATGCTTCACATACGATGATGGGTATTTATCTCATAGGTACAAAAAAAAAAAGATGCTATAGACCATCCAACATCCATAACTCATTTATTAGATACCGTTTTACTGCTTTGTTAGTCCTGTGGTGAAGTATTTTTTCTCGTTTTTTTTTGTGTGTGCTTTTATTTTTTATTTTTTGTTTGTTTGTGTGTCTTTTTTTTGGGAGAACGAGTGGAAAGACTGATAAAATTTTGTTATTTTCTGACTCTCTGCTTTCAGATCTACGAAATATATGAGTTTGCATTAACTCCTCAGAATGAATCGGCAGATGAGGAATTGGGAATACGACTTGCGCATCATCGTGTTCCAGCCCTTCATCGAACGACTTATTTTTCAAATTCCGAAAAGCCAGTGGCCCGTGATATTCTCTTGTTTAGGCCAGCTTTTCAGGTAGGGCAATTTTGTTTATTTTTGTATTAGCGAGCGTTTTATGGACACAGCGAAATCGGCGTTTTGTGTTGATTAACCAATAAAACTGTTAAGGATTTCAAAAATCTGCCGGTACCATCTTCACCGTTTCTGGTGGCGGCATTTATTCATCACTCAGAATCGATTTGGGCAAATGTGATACCGCAAAGACTTCTGATAAGGCTTGGCCTTCAGGCCTCATGTATGTTCTTTACAAGATGCTGGATCTGTTTCTGTTTAAGAGTGTTCCTAATTGATGCATAAGTAACATATAGTGTGAGAAACCATATAGCCGAATAAAGTAAGGCGACATTTAGGAAGACGGAGAGGGAGGTTCCTTCTGTTGTCTCTGTGAGGAGACGGGCGCTAAAGTGTTCTCTCTGTCAGGGAACTCGCTATAGGTAATCTGGTAAAAGGCCGAAAATTCGCTGTAAAGCCCAAGATCAAAGGACTTGCCATTTCGGCCGAAATAAAACTGAAGGAAGATTAAACGAACTATGTAAAAAAACGAATACATGGATCTAGAAGTGGAAATTTAGCAAGTATTATCTTGAAGCACTTGGATAAAAAAAAATAAGGTGCTTTGAAATTAAATAGCTTCGACAGATCGCCGACTTGCTGGCGATAAAATCTGCCTACAAATAATTTGCAAGAGGATTTTTCAGTTTATCCGACGCCACTAATAAATGATTTGGAGCGGAAGCCCGTATACAGCGCAATATTTGATACAAGTGTGCTCAAAATGTTCAACGATTTCCGGAACTGGCGCTTTCGCATGCCGGTGATTTGTGGCAGCACGCTAACGATTAAGGATAACAACGAAACTCATCTGATCGTTCCGGCGTGGGCGAACGATGAGGTATGTCTTCTTTCAGTATGCAAAACTTCAGTAAAAGTTTCGCTTGTCGTGAGTGCTAGTTTGAATCCCTGTCTTCTACATTTTCCTTTTAAGGACTTTTTTGATTTTTCAGATTGCAAAGCTGATCAAAACAAATAAAAATATGCTTTCCTGGGGCTTGGACTTCAACACAGATGCAGACAGTCATCTCGTCAGCGAACAGGATGAACAGGCCGGCTCTTTCGACTCACAGATTTTTACGAATGGAGTGGGAAATCGA